AAAAACAAAAAACGAGCAATTCAAATTCAAGAAATCATCCATCTATTTGAAACAAGTTTAACGATTTTTTTCAACTTCTTTGGCATAACGTCCGTCTGATCGTCTGTCTGTCTGCCTGCCCATCAATGCAAATGATGAAGGTCTATTTCGAATATACTCTGTATTTTGCCAGCGTATATTTCTGTCTGTCGATCGGCCTCTCATCAGATATTTCTTTTGTATGAATGGTAGATGTGTGACTTATTTTTTCATTTTATTTTTATTTTTGTAATTATAATCTGCAATAATAGAAAATACTGAAACAAAACTCAATACAATTTTAGTCTTTTAAAAGCTGTCTCAGAGATCACAAATCGTTCGATCGATCCACCGAACTGCAGTTAAGACATCAGGAAGCAACAGCATTTTTGTTTGTGTGAGTAAAGTGAATTTTTATGATTTTATTTAAGATGTTTTAAAAAGGTTATAAACATAAATTTGTATAAATAATCAATAGAGTTGTGGAAAAATAAAATATGTTCGAATGGTATGCTGTGTGTGTTAAGTTTGGTCAGTAACTAATTTACGCATTCATTCATAGTTTTTTTTTTTTGCAAAGAATTTATCGAAAAAACTGGTGTTGATATAATGTGTGTGTGACGTGCGAGTTCGAATATGGATTATCATAAAAATAGCTTTTAAACACTTTTAAATGACATGAATTTTTTAATAAAACTATTCATGAATTTTTTGGAGGAGACTTCAAATAGAAATCTATAGATTCCATAAACAATATACAAACATAAAATATCTATAATATGGAAGATCTTTTAAATATCTATATATTATACCTCTATATAGGAAATGTATTTCAGATAAATAAAAAAATAAATATTAAACATTTTCTATCAGAAAATCCTTTAAAAATTTTGAAAATATTGACACATGTGTAAGACCATGTCATTCCTTTTTATACCCTTCACCACTCAGTGGTACAGGATATTATGTATTTGTGCATATGTTTGTAACAGGCAAAAGGAAACAAGGTAGACACATGGTTCCTTTTGAGAATGAGTCGATTTATGCATGTCCGTTCGTCTGTCTGTCGATGTTAAATTGTAAACAAAGTATAGGTCGCATTTATAATCCAAATTGGATGAAATTTGGCATGGCCCGAGGACGAACCCTATTGAAATTGGGAAAAATCGGTTCAGATTAAGATATAGCTCCCATATATATTTTCGTCCGATTTAATGCAAACGGTCCCTATATATCTCTCGATTTGCACGAAATTTGGCATAGCGTAATGAATTAGGTCTAGAATGATGTGTGTTAAGTTTCGTGAAAATCGGTTCAGATTTGAATATAGCTCCCATACATATTTTCGTCCGATTTAAGGTAAATGGTGCACCAAAGTCTCTATATATACTTCGATTTGCACGAAATTTGGCATAGCGTACTGAATTAAGTCTAGAACGATGTGTGTCAAGTTTCCTGAAAATCGGTTCAGATTTGAATATAGCTCCCATACATATTTTCGTCCGATTTAAGGTAAATGGTGCACCAAAGTCTCTATATATACTTCGATTTGCACGAAATTTGGCATAGCGTACTGAATTAAGTCTAGAACGATGTGTGTCAAGTTTCCTGAAAATCGGTTCAGATTTGAATATAGCTCCTATATATAATTTCGTCAGATTTAAGGTAAATTGTGTACCAAAGTCCCTCTATATATTTCGATTTGCACGAAATTTGGCATAGCGTAATGAATTAGGTCTAGAATGATGTGTGTTAAGTTTCGTGAAAATCGGTTCAGATTTGAATATAGCTCCCATATATAATTTCGTCTGATTTAAGGTAAATTGTGTACCAAAGTCCCTCTATATATTTCGATTTGCACGAAATTTGGCATAGCGTAATGAATTAGGTCTAGAATGATGTGTGTTAAGTTTCGTGAAAATCGGTTCAGATTTGGATATAGCTCCCATATATATTTTCGTCCGATTTAAGGTAAATGGTGTACCAAAGTCTCTATATATACTTCGATTTGCACGAAATTTGGCATTGCGTACTGAATTAAGTCTAGAACGATGTGTGTCAAGTTTCCTGAAAATCGATTCAGATTTGGATATAGCTCCCATATATATTTTCTTCCGATTTTAGGTAAATGATGTACCAAAGTCTCTATATATACTTCGATTTGCACGAAATTTGGCATAGCGTAATGAATTAGGTCTAGAATGATGTGTGTTAAGTTTCGTGAAAATCGGTTCAGATTTGGATATAGCTCCCATATATATTTTCGTCCGATTTAAGGTAAATGGTGCACCAAAGTCTCCTTATATACTTCGATTTGCACGAAATTTGGCATAGCGTACTGAATTAAGTCTAGAACGATGTGTATCAAGTTTCCTGAATTAAGTCTGGAAAGATGTGTGTAAATTTTCGTAAAAATCGGTTCAGATTTAGATATAGCTCCCACACATAGACATACAATTGTTAGGATACATATGTACAATATACCCAAAGTGGTGAAGGGTATCATATAGTTGGCCCAGTCCGACTTTACTACTTTCCTTACTGGTTTTGAGTTGGGTCGTTCCTGAAGGAAGTAATAGTTATAAAAAATGTACCACAAAAGGAACGACTGTTATCGGACCTAGTAACAATCGTTCCTTTTGTCTTCTGATTTCTTCTAGTTTCTTTTGTTCCTGCAGGTATAATCCAATAAAATATAATTTATGTAGGTCTACGTTTGGATATAGCCAACATAAGGATGTATAAGTTGATTTTCGATTAATCCATTTATTTTATTACAGATTTAAAAAACAAGCTTCTTTCGACGATTTTCAACAGACTACTGAAATGAGCATAAATTATGTTAATGCTCATGCTATTTTCGACCAAAAACCTAAACTTTGGAAGATCTTCGCCGGTTGAATTTATCCTAATTCATACGATGGCTATGTAGGTCTTGATCGAATATAGGCCAAAAGCTCCACTATTTAACTATAGAAAATTTGTCCAAATAGTATTTCCCGAGGTGAATATGTCCGCCATAATTGGTGGTCCCCTTAACACATTTTCGAAAACTACTTTGAAAGAACATTTTCTCCTCCGCTGGGATTTAAATCTGCAAACCAGCGCGATACGATCTTAAGTATACCTAAAATGATGTGTTGCTTTTGAAAACAAATTCGAAAATAATAATAATAATAATTTTTGGTAGAAAACGTTCATCAAATTCCCAATTTGTCTTCGATAAAAACGAATTTTTCAGTTTCAGAACTATGTTTCGATCAATTAACTATTAACTATTTCTACGAAAGATTGAGCAACGATGTACGATCTTCATGCACACATTGGAGAGATACTGGAGAATATGCTTTAAGTTCCCTAAGCCATCTTAAACCTTCTCTTTCATATAATAGATTTGAATTCTGTCGATACGATAGCCTAAATGTGGGTTGGTATATTCATCAGCCACCTAGAACAATGTCATCATATGTATCATACCTTGATCTTCACACCTTCGCAACCAGATAAGCTTGAGGATAGACATATTGCACCATGGGTCCTATATTACTCACCCAAAATTCGTTGACTCTGATTCATATGAGTTGTTAATTCCACTTCCCGATTTGTTGGGGCCTCAATTCACTTCTTGTAGCCGGAATCTGAACAGACTAAACAAAATGTAGGGCCTGGAACCTCTTAGGGTATTTGTACCCTACACAACTATGTTGTCAGGGTATTATAGCTTTGTGCAGCCCCAACGCCGCGAAATTTTGGTCCTAGACCCACCTTTAAGTATACCGATAGTCATATCTCGACCAGCTGAGTCGATCTAGACATGTGTGTCCGTCCGTCTGTCCATTATAATTTGTAAACACGATACAGGTCACAGTTATGGACCAATCTTCACGAAATTTTGCATGTAGGATGGGTTCTGGCCAATGAAGACCCCTATTGGAAAAGATCGGTTAATATTTAGGGGAAGAAATGGACCAAAAACTTTATTTTAGTCGGTTTTTCTGGTCGCTCCAGAGGCCGCAATTATGGCCAAAACACCGCGAATTTTTGCATGGAGACGGGGATCGGGCCAAATAATAAATATGCCTGTTTTGATAAAGATCGGTCAATATTTAGCGGGTCAAATGGACCCTGACTTTTGTGTGAAAAATTGCAAAATGTTTATTCTATGGGGTATATATTTGCACATGAAGGTCCTAGACGCGAGAAGTTGATAGTATGTTCAAGAGGAGTGGTTGGTCTTTAAATTGATACTAATTATATTGTCGTATGTACTCGGATGCGGGACTTGCACATATATATTTACAGGTGCTTACGTATTCATATATTATTTAGTAACCCATTACCACACTAGACGGCAGAAATATAGCGCTGATCGCTTTGAAATTTTCCATGAGGTGGAAGTTATGGTCACCGACAACGTCTATAACTTTTTGGTGATGATCAGATAATAATTTTTGGGATGAAGTGGACCGAAAAATTATTTGTTGGTGTTTTTTTCGAGTCGATCTATAGGCCAAAATTGAAAGCCGAACATCACAACACAATGCACGGTGAAGGGAATCTGGACAAGTGATTAGAAGGGCTGTACTGAATATTTGTAATATTTGTTGACCTCTAGTCGGACAAGAGGGTGCAAATATCGCGAAATATTGCCCAAGCTCATAATATAGAATCACAGAAAGTTATAGTTTCGTGGAAGTTGTGTAGGGTATCACATGGTCGGCCCCGTCCGACTATACTGCTCCGCTCACTGATTTTATATTAATTTAGAAATCAGCGATTCCAATTATTATTATTACATAAAAAAGAAAAAAGTTGTTAAAACTCCATGAATATATTTTTCTAAATACCTTCTGAAAGCTGATGCAACAGACCTTTTACTTCTGCCAAATCGCATTACCCAAAACTTACACTACCTTCGGTTATTAGGAAAAATTTACAATTATTTCCATACATCTTTCTAGCCACAAATTTAGTCCCACACAATGACTCCGAGACGAAGTCTTAAGCTATGGTGCATAGCACTAATCGTATGCATTGTGATGGTCAGCATGATACCGAATGTGGAAGCCAAAACTAAACGACGTCACAAAAATAAAACTTCCAGTGGACACAAAACCAGTAGCGGAAGCAGTATCGGAAGTGGAAGTGGTACTACTCACAAGAAACCCCATACCAGCGGAAGCAGTACCGGAAGTGGAAGTGGTACTACTCACAAGAAACCCCATACCACGCAGACTGGACACAAAAAACCCTCTTCAGGTGGCAATAATGATAATCCGCCAGAAAATAAACCTTCCAAACCAAATCACCCCCACCATCAGCCACCAAGCGGAGAAAATCCACCTCCAGGAACAAATCATCCGGGACAAAGTATACCCGGTAATAAACGTCCTGCACACAAACATCCTAGCCAATCAGGAAATGGTAATGAGAATGGCGAACAAAATCGCCCAAGCGGTCATCATCATATAAATAAGCCACATCCGGGCAATGGCGTAAATAATCATCCGAATAAATCTCCCACCAATCATGGTCATGCCAAACCAAATCATCCTAGCCAAAGTTCTCCCACCCATGCACCACCAATTAAAAATCACCCCATACATAGTCATCATAAGAAGCAGGAGTCGGAAGGAATGGAACCAAATGAGGAAATAAAACCGATCTACAATCACCCACATCATAATAGTCCGATGATGGGGCAGTCGGGACATCATGGTGTTAAAAATCATCCAGCTCATAGTTATCCCACGCAGGAACCAGCACATCCAACACAAAATTATCCCAGTCATGGGGCTGTAAATCATATGCATGGTGCAGGATATCAGCATCACAACCCCTTGCCACCAAGGGCGCTGTTTGTGCCAGCGGATGGCAGCTATCCCACCGCTGGGGTAATTTATGTCCAGCAGGCACCATCCTATGATGATGTGGCTTATGGTAAGCAGATTTTTTCAAGGAAACCATTTCAATATTTTATTTTTATTTTCATACTCCTTTCTTCCCACAGAGGAGGGCAAAGTTCTGGGTCGCCGAATTGCCCAAGCCATTCGCCGTAGAAATCGCCGCAAACAACAGGAACAACAAAGTGGTAATAACACCTCCAGTACCACAGCTGCGCCTGACAATGGTCTGCTAGCTGATGGTCCCCTAAATCCAAATGCCGCTCCCTATGGTATTGTATGTGTTCCGGTTAAGGTGCCTCAACGTGATCCTCAAGATCCCATGAAAATGCTTGAAACTGAACAGAAGGTTTGTTATCCCGCACCACCACCTGCTCCAGGTTCCACACCAATGCCATCTGCTCAAAGACCATTTATACCGGAAGGAGCCAATGTTCCAATGGCACCATTAAACTTGGAACCAACATCTCTACCCTCAAATGGACCAATGATGTCTGTGCAATCAGCAATAGCACCAGGTTTAGGAACAAATATGCCAAGTGTGGGACAACAAAATATTCCCGCAATTATGCCAATGATGCCAGCCCAATCTGCTCCGGTATATATGCCAAAAAATCCAAGTGTGGTCCAAGAAAATCCCACAGGAACTGTGCCAATGATGTCCGGTCAATCCGCTCCAGTGTATGTACCTAATAATAATCCAAGTGAGGGACAACAAAATCCTGCAGGACCTATGCCAGTGATGTCCGGCCAATCAACACCAGTCTATGTACCCAATATGCCCACAGTGGCGCAACAAAGCGATGTATCGGAACAACCTCCCAGCAGCGTACAACCTGGACCAGTGTATATGCCTCAAATGAATAATATTCTACATGCTTCTGAGGTCCCAGCGAGCAGTGTACAATCGGCTCCAGTATATGTACCTCAAGTCTCCAGTATACAAGGTGCAACTACGGCATCGGATATGCCGCAGCAAGGTGTAACAACTTTGACCTAAAATGGTAATTTTTTCAATTTATTGTAGTTATGATTACCTTTGCAACACCTCCAAATATTCACCTGAGACCACGGTATTTTGATCGGAAAAAAATTCGATGTCGATTCGATTCAAGTTTTATGGTAGCCCCCTATAACGATATGGGTATTTTGAGAAGATCGGACACGGTTTACTTTTTAGGTTAGCTCCCATTAAGGGTACCTCCGAAATTTAGGGAAGTTTGTTCGCGTTTTTCAACCAAATTGGATATTTTGGATAGAAAAAATTATCAACAGATCTTCCAAGCAAAAATTGTCTATATAACGGTCAGATTTTTCTATAGAAAAAAAACCTCAGAAACTGAAATTTTTTCTATACAAAAATGACCTAGCAACAGATGACAGATTTAATACCAGATTTAGTACCATATTTATACTTATAAGTTCACTATCTCAATCATGTACTCTAACAGTCTTAATCCGGGGTCAATGAACTTTAATACGGCTTAAGCCTTAATCTGGGGTCAATGATTTTTAATCTGGATTAAGCCGGATTATGACTTAATCCGGATTAAGGATCGTTGACCCCGGATTGAGGATTAATACGGATTAAGGGTCATTGACCCCGGATTAAGATTCATTGACCGCGGATTAAGGCTCAAGCCGGATTAAATGTCATTGATTGAGGGTCATTGACCCTGGATTAAGGCTTATGCCAGATTAAACGTCGTTGACCCCGGATTAAGGCTTAATCCCCATTAAGGGTCATTGTCCCCGGATTAAGGCTTCATCCTGATTAAGGGTCATTGACCCCCATTAAGGTTATACAAACGGGAAAAGCTGGAATTCTGAAATTTAAAATGTGAAAGTTAGAAAGATGTAGATGCTCCATTTTAGAAATTCGTACTTATGTGTATGAAGAGTACTAAATGGTACTAAATTTGGTACTATTTGCCTTTAGTTGAGCGTATAGGGATGGAATATTTAAAAATAGGAATTAGGATTACTATTGGAGTAGAGGATTGAGGTAGCCTTAAACAATCGTACTTATGTGTACGAAGTTTGATTAAGGTGAACAACTAGAGCTGGAGTCTTGAAATTGGGAATTAAAATGACTGTTAGAGTGTAGGATTAAGGAAGTTAAGCAAATGCGTACTTATGGGTACGAACATTACTAAATGTTACTAAATTTAGTACAAATTGAATTTTTGGTGAAAACCTGAAACGAAAAGTACTAAATTTGGTACTGGAATCCTGAAAACTGCAACTAAAATTACAGTCGGAGTGTAGGATTGATACAGTTTTGGAATATGGGCACGAAAAATACAGAATGATACATTATCTGGTACAATTTGGATTTCGATGAACACTTAGTGGTAGAATTCTAAAATTTAGACTTACGATTACCATTTGAAAGCAGAATTGAGGTAATTTTTTAATTCATACTTATGAGACGGAAAGTACTAAAATTGGTACAATCTAGACTTTAGACGAATTAAGATTACTTTTAGAGTGTAGGATTGAAATTCTTACTTATGAGTATGTGAAGTACTAAATGGTACTAACATTGGATTAATTTGGATTAGGGTAACGGAAAGAGCTGGAAACATAAAATCTGGTACTAAATTTTGTGAAATTAAAAATACGATGTGTTCGAAAAGTGTTGAATGGAACCAAATGTGGAACATCTGGGTATTTGCTAAAATGTATAATTGAAATCTGTATAATGGAATAAAGAAAGATATTTCAGAAATTAGTACCTATGTGTATGAAGGGTACTAAATGGTAATAAAGTTGATATTAGGTGTAGCAATAGAAGTGGAATTCGGAATATTAGTACGAAAATATATACAGTATTCACAATTTCCATATAAAATATAGTTTATTTATTTTTTTATTTCCTTTCTGCATACAGAATAGCGGGCACCCGCTAGTTCTTTATAAATAAGCGAATATTAAAAAAATATTTTTTTATATTACTTATTTTACTCTTTTTATATTTTCAGGTCAATATTGAAAATCTATTGGTGTCCCATCAAAATGTGGAAACTATTTATTTTACTACTTTTTTTTAATAATTACATTTAGTAAATACACTATAAAAAATGTATACAATATTTATTTTATATATTAAGCGAAAAACATGATTGTAATATTTACGACATTTTTTTTAAATAAATAAAACAATAAAATACAAAATTAAATTTATTTTCTTATTATTTTTTTATGAAATATCTCAATCATAGGCATTGAGTTTAGTTGAAGAGTTTTTTTGTAGAAATGAAAACAGCCATGGGGGAAAATTTTATATTTTTTATATTTTTGTAGAGTTCAACAGAGCCTTAGGATATTTTTAAGAATATGTTTTTTATAGAGATCAAAAGAGTCATAGGCGAGGATTTTTTACCCTACACAAGAGTTTGTAACGCCCCAAGACTTTATATTAGTCCTAGGTAGAGTTGGGTAGTTCCGGAAGGAACTATTCCGATAAAGGAACGATCGTACTAGCTCCAAACCTTTAATTAATATAGTTCCTTTTTCTCGTTCCTTTTTTTGATCTCGTTCCTTTTTAGATTCGTTATTTTTTCTGACCTCGTTTTTTTTCAAATGCTGTCACATTGTTATAATATATAAACATTATTAATAATATATAAACATACGCCCATCAATTTATTATGGTGTAAATAGCTAAATTTTATTTTTTTTTTAATATTTTTATTTATTTATAAATAAATTTTCAATCATTTATTAACAAATCATTTGATTTGTAAGGAAAGTAGTAAAGTCGGACTGGGCCGACTATATGATACCCTTCACCACTTTGGCTATATATGGTACATATGTGTCCTTACAATTGCAATGTTCATTCGAAGGAACATACTCATCTCTTTCTGCAACCTATGATAAATTTAGTTTCATTCGGACAGATTTAGAGTCGTCTGCCTACCACGGGACAAGTTTATGGAAAACGATTTATTGCAAAATTGATACACCCTATCCGGTACGACAAACTATTAAAAATTTTATTTTAATCAGACACCCGTTCAAAATACATATGGAAGCTATGACTGCATCTGCATCAATTTCAACAAAACGCAATAACTTCATTGAAGTCTCATTTTGATACGTTGTGCAAAGTTTTAAAACGAAACACGGACATTATATGCAAATCGCAGGATATATATGGACTTTGGTGCACTATTTACATCAAATCGGACGAAAATATATATGGGGGCTATACCTAAATCGGAACCGATTTTCACGAAACTTAATACACGTCACTCTAGACTTCATTCAGTAAGCTATGCCAAATTTCGTGCAAATCGAAAAATATATAGGGACTGTGGTGCACCATTTACATTAAATCGGACGAAAATATATATGGGAGCTATATCTAAATCCGAACCGATTTTCATAAAATTTCACACAAATCATTCTAATCTCAATTCAGAACGCTATGTCAAATTTCGTGCAAATCGAAGGATATATAGAGACTTTAATGCACCATTTACCTTAAATCAGACGAAAATATATATGGGAGCTACATCTAAATCTGAACCGATTTTCAAAAAAAATGTATGTACATCGTTCTAGACTTAATTGAGTACGCTATGCCAAATTTCGTGCAAATCGGAATATATATAGGTACTTTGGTGCACCATTTACCTTAAATCGGACAGAAATATATGTATGGGAGCTATATCTAAATCTGAAGCGATTTTTCCGAAACTCACCACTCATCATTCTAGACTCAATTCAGTACGCTATGCCAAATTTCGTGCAAATCGAAGGATATATAGGGACTTTGGTGCACCATTTACCTTAAATCGGACGAAAATATATATGTGAGCTATATCGAAATCTGGACCGATTTTCAGGAAACTTAACAGTCATCATTATAGATCAAGTTCATTACGCTATGCCAAATTTCGTACAAATCGAGCGATATATAGGGACATTGGTATACCATTTACATTAAATCGGACGAAAATATATATGGGAGCTATATCTAAATCT